CATTCTGCCAAAGTACTCTGAACCTTCAATTCGTAAAATGGTGCTTTTCTCTACGATAGTGTAAGAAATTAAAGTTAAATTAGGTGAATAGAACACGTAGACCTTCCAACTCTCACGGTTTGGGTAGTCAACTCACGGTCCAACGACTTAGCCTCCAGCTCTCATTGTGCCGAATCAGAAATTTTTAAAAATCTTAAAATTGCCAGACAATTCCAGAAGGAATCGCGTAATTTGAAAAAATCGTCTTCATGGACGAATTGTATCAATCCAGTTTTGAGGGTAAACGTGAGTCAAATCATCCAAGGCCTCATCCCCGTAAAACATAAGTTCACCTAGGTCTGTGGGAAAGCCTTATCGACATTCTCACTTGGCTACTCGCCGTCCTATCGACCTGGATAGTAACACAGAATCTTCTTATCACTGCCAAGCGATAAACAAGACAGTACAACAGAGACCACCAATAGGATAAGGAATACCATGACAAAAGTAATCCATCTGAGTAATCTGCCTTATTAGTTTTATTTGACACATATTTTGTGAAATCTACAGGTTTGAGGTCCCACTCTCAAACCGGTTTTTGGAAGCTCTTTCTTTCTCAAACACTCCAGATTTGCATGTTTTAGGGGGTGGTAGGTCTGAAACACTCATATCCTTAACTATTCTCTGGGGGGTGGGGGAGTTTTTTATACATTAAGCTTGGGTAGGAATTGACCATGAATTGGATGAAGCATGGAAGTTTTTTATTGGGACTCAAAATTACAACAGTCACTTATTACGAACTGGATAAAGGTTGATCTTGTATTTAATTAATAGTATACCTTCTTTTGCAGCCAGATCAAGGGTATGTTCCTTTGCTTTGAGTATTTTTCCTGCGACCCCTGTGTAGAAAGCCATGGTGGACGTGATTTTGAAGTTCAAAGTTCGCTTATAATTGGACGAGTTCGTCATCACGACTTTGAAATCAAAGCTGTCTCCGAATTTAAGATCATTCGGCCAGTCCAAAGAAATCGCTACGTCTCCTTTCTCTACCTCGTAAATGTTGAACCTCTCCCTGCTGCTAAAGTTGTGAGCCATTTCAACTGCTCTCCTTTCTTCTGGAGTGCCTATATTCAGTAATATACAACATCATGAGCAGAAGTGAGGCTTTGCTGGATGATCCAATATTTCTGCTTTAGACCAGTTTAGACCGATATCAGTCACTGACATTATAATGAGACTTTTTGAAAGGTTAATCCTAGATTTCGGATTGAGGAAACCAGGGTTCCTACTTTATTCATTTAGATCAGTTTGCCTATGTAAGAAGGATTGTGGAGCTGAGACTGCCCTATTATATAATCAGCACTTTTGGATGAGATGGCTTGATGGCCATTCTTACTTTGCTAGAGTTCTGTCTTTTGACTTCTCAAAAGCCTTTGACTCAGTTCCCATAGAGTAGTAACTGATAAACTTAAGAAAGTGCCTGACATTAACCCTTATATTGTTAATTGGGTTATTGACTTTTTAAAAGATCGTCAGCAAAGAGTATGTGTAGACAAAGTCATGACCCCATTCTTACCTGTCAATCGAGGTGTGCCCCAAGGCCCTGTTCTGGGGCCTGTACTTTTTACCATCATGAGTAATGATATAAGTTCCACCTCCCAGAATACCTTAATGACTAAATACGCTGACGTTACATGTAGTATACCCGTTGGGCCTAATGTCAAAGATAGTGCCTCTGAGGAGGTAGAAAATGTTAAAGTCTGGGCAGAGAATAATTTGATGAAACTTAATCTAAGTAAGACCAAGGAACTGGTCATAAGAGGAAGAACGACTTTACCCCCTCCTGAGCCAATTGTTGCCATTAAACGTGTGAATGGAAAATGACGTGTGAATGGAAAATGACGCGTTTTGAGGTTTGGCTATGGAACGACTTCGTTCTTTCCTGATTTCGGGGTGGAGGAAGGGGTATTGCCGGGTGCCAATTACCTGCACGATTAATTTCATTTGCTTGATAAAATTTGTTTGTACTCCAAGTGTACAAAAGCAATGATGATAACATGGATTTTCTCTACTGCAATTGCCAATAAATGGCTTTAAAACAAGACGACGTGAATTTTGTCCTTTGTCCTATACAGGGTAATAAAATTGAGGTTGTTGTACGGTTGTTCTAGACAGGGTATGAATTTTAGGATTTTTTTGTCTTAAACAGGGTCAGGGTTTCAAACCCTCAGCGGCTTACCTATACCCATAGATTGGTCGAGTACCCCCCGGGGTTACGTCCATGTAACGCGTTTTCCCAGCCCTTGCCGGTAAATGCATTTCGGCTGGGACCAGGCTCCGCAGTGGGGGAAAAAGGCAAAAAACGGGTTGAAATAGGAAAAAATATCGGCCAGCGAGGCGAGCTGAGCGGTGGTCTGGCGAAGGGGAAAGGGCGGCGGTCCAGGCTCTGCTAAGCTCTGTTACCTTTCCCCCTCCCCAGGCTACCCCTCGGCTTCAGGGGGGAAAAACACTCTGCGCAAGCTTCTGCGCATCCCTTATCACAGGCACAAGGCAAGCTTTTCTTTGTGTTGACTGTGTTCGACTGTGTTTGTTTTTGTCACTAAGAGAGTTCTGACCGGCGACTGAATGAAATGCACAAGATGTGAACTTTTGCTTCTCGAAAAGTCTTTTTACCTTGTGGTTTTTGTTTTTCGTCACTTGAAAATTACTTTGGACTTAAAACAACCAATGTTAAAGGAAAATTGGATCATTCCGTCAGTCTGAGGTGGAATAAAAAGTTTTGAACATTTCCAAAGAGGCGAGTATTTTTCTGATTGTGCATTCGATTTATTTGTGAGTTGATTTCGCCTTCTTTCGCCGGGCTGAATTAAAACCCGCTTGTGTTCTGTTATTAAACCGTTGTGCGCTTAACTTCTCGGAAATAGAAGGCCAGCAAGCTTACTCGAGAAGCAAAGACTACTTCGATCATTTTTCTGTTGCTCAAGTTGTAATAATAGTCAGAGTTTTCTTCATTTTTAATTACATAGCTTTGTTTTCCAGTGCACTGTGAAAGTTCCTCTTCTTTATAAGAAATAACTTTCTGTACGCAAATTTTCCTTTTCACTCGCTATGAAGTAGAGAACGACAACAGCCGGCAGCGGCTTCAAAACAGTTGACTCTGCCCGTAAACAATTGCTGGAGCTCGATTTGTCTGAGGCGAACAAAACAAATACCCTTATGTGTAGTTTTCTGTATTTTCTATTGATTGGATGAGTTTAATTTGCTTGAATAGAATGAAGACCTTTGCATGGAACCAGTAATATCCTCTCAGTTATTAGAAATAGCTAAATGGTGAATCATGGCATGGCTGCGAAGCTCACTGCCACTGATCTTTTGCTTTTAAGATCTTTAAGTAGGTTTTTTTCTTACAAAAAAAATTCATTTCTTCCTTGTCTGCAAAAAGTTCTGCAATAATGTAATTATTATATATCCAGGAACTTCCTTAAATGAACACATTTTGTGAATGCATCTTGAAAAAAATCGGACCTACGCATGTACATTTCCAGTACAACGCAAGGAAATTAATTTCGTTAAAGTCCGTTTTACTATGAGGTATTCTTCGAGAAAATTAAGTAATGAGGAGGCTATAACCACAGTTTGCAACTTGTGAAGAAAAAATGGCTTGTTCTTTCCAGGTTAAGAGTGGAAACGTTTTATTATCAGGCAGAAAAATATTTGAAATCCCTCAATTTTTTCATACCTGGCCAGGGGATCTGGGCAAAAAAGTTCACGCATACTCAGTACGTTTTTCCTCCCCAGCCCTACAACCCTCGGCTCACTTCGCTCGCCCATTTTTTTTCCTTTCTCCCCCAATGCGAAGCCTGGTCCCAGGCTAGCATTTGGGTGACGTATCCGAGGAGAATACTCGGACCACTGCTCGCCACCCGAATCACATAGGCGGTGCGAGTAGGGACTAGGCAAGGCATGCACAATTTATAACTGAAAGTTTACCTTCTGGGTATTTGTAATCGTTTGTGACGTCAAGCCTAGATTGAGCCGAGTTCTGGTTGGGTAATTTGGTGCTGATTTTTTTACCAACAGCACTTTTATCCGTGACAAAGGCTTTTAGGAGGGAGTTGTCAGAACTATCCACTACCCACTGCACCTTGTCACCATTCACTTCGGCAAATATAAAGCCAGTGTCATAAGGTAGATAGACCTCTGCATTCTTGATTGCCTTCACGGAAGCCGGACCACAGCGATAAACACCTGAAAAAATTATGTAAAAAGAAACGTTGACCATAAGGAAATGTTAATTTTTAATCTTATATTTTAAGTTACATTTGAATACCGTATAAAATGATTTGCTAACCATAACTTAGCTAATAGAAACGTGAACCAAGTAGTTTTTTTATGTACTGGATGGCGTGAAAAATAGAAAAATAGAACCTGTTTCGTCACCAGTAGCTCGCGATCACTGGGGATATTTGGGTTAACCATTAAGGAAAGGGGGCACGAAGGGAGTGATGGTAAGGGGAGAAGGCGAAGCGGCTTTTCCTTCTCTCTTCTTTTCCTCCCCAGCACTCCCCGCTCGCACTCTACGCTCGTTCCCATCATCCGTCTCTCGCGCTTCTCACTTAATTGTCTCTCTCGGCTTGTCTCTCGTGCTCGCGAGTTCCCCAATTCCCACTTAGCCTTGGGAAAGCCCGTGGAGGAGGCAGAAATGGAACCTTTCAATGCCAGACACACCTAATGAAAGCACAATGTCACATGCTACATACCTTCACTGGTTTCTTGGGGCGTGGCATCATGTGCTTGCCATCCGTCATGCCCGGCTGGCAGATCAGGACGTTTGAACCATGACTCGTTCCACACGTGATAGTTCCTGAAAATACACAAGATTGAACAAGATAGAAGTACGTATTTCATTTGCGCCTGCTTCCAGGTGAACCAAAACAAGGCTTCGTTGGTAAACTTTGTACTGCGCATACTGCTGCACAAGAGCCACAGATACAATTCACTTGTGCGAGTTCAGGGAAAATTTTGCGGAAAAGTCATTCTTCTCGTGGGCTTTTGGCTCAGCCGCCAAAATTTTCCCTGAACTGCTACTTACTGAAATTCCAAGTTAGGAGAACACGTTTAATTTACTGTGTTCCTAAAAAAAAAGAACCATATTTGCCCATATGAGGTGGTAAAATGGTAAATGTTATTGTTGTGGATATGCCTACCGGCCCAGCTAATCTTGCTTGTTCCAAGGCACCTCACTTAAATCATCATAAACAAATCAAAGACGCTGAACATGCCACAGTCAATCCAACGCAAAATGCAGGAGACAGACCACTTGGCTATGAATTGTGGCCGAGGGTTTGAACTCAGGATTACTGAGAAATTAGTGGTCAGAGCGGGACTCAAACTCGGGGACAACGCGGCAACGCGCTGACCACTCTTAGCCTATGTTACGTCACCAAAATTCAAACTAAGAAACTATCGATTCTTCTGAGTTTCTGAGTTTCATGAGGTATTACAGCACCTAAACACCTTTATTTAAACAAAGTTTTGGTTCCAAAGGGTTCTTCGTTTTGCGATAGGGAACGTTTGAATTTGTAGGCTTTTGCGTGACGCGGCTTTTGGCTGGCGGTCGGGAAGGTTCTTATGTGGGTTAAAAACATTACCAATATTGGGAGACTTTGCTACCTAAACATTCCTTGTCTCAGAATAAATATCACTTTAATCCTTTATGAGTTTTTCAAGCGATGATTTCACGCATTTGTAGGAAAACTCAAAAACAGATGTTTCTGTTGGTTTCCGGCGGCCATATTTGTGCCCCTCAAAGGGACACAAACATGGCGTCTCCATACAAAGCTTTATAAATTTGGGTAAAACGTTTTTCCGAATATCTCGCATATGAAAAACCGCACAGACCTGATTCTTGGCGAGGCCTTTTGCATATTTATCTTCTTTTATTTCCTAGATTCTGGACTTTCTGTACTGAATGGTTTGCAATTTTATTTTCGATTGCGCGACAGTGAAAACCGAGAATACCGGATAGGGCTTCCGTTTAAACCTAAATACGGTGATTTCGGCGCGAATTCTTTAACAGGTCGAAGAAGGGCCGCGCCGATCTCGAAAATGGAACGTGCCACACTCTGGTACTGTGTGAACAGATATTCGGACTTGCTTAGCGGAAGTGAATAAGTAGGGCCGGGGGCGAGGACTGGAACCCATTCAGACGGAGGTAAATATTTTTAAAAGTGAGGACTGGGATTTTAGTTCACCAAGCCCTCCCGGCCAACCACCCCGGCACGACGGTTCCATGCGTCTGAATGGCGCGTTCCTATTCCGGGGCCGTTGCCGTTCAAACAAACCGGATAGTTTCTCGGCGTCGACACGGAAAACTATGGGATATAGTGTGTACATAGCCTGAAATGATCGTCTCCCCGCATCATCGCTCCTCCCATTAGTCCTTCCGTCCACCTCCATCAATGCACATGGTATTATTAAGGGGTGGAGTGTACTCAGAGAGATTCAGTTATACTAACAACTTACACTCACCAGACGGAGTCATCCAATTGTGTAATTGGATCGTTATTTTCGTCAAAATGGGTATCGATGGTCAAGCTGCGGTCATGATCGTGGGCGGAGTGGTAGTTCGTCACGCTACGGGTGGGTAGACCCAGTGCTCTCAACACTGTAACAGAGCATCCAGACGATGGAGTCATTTTAACAAGGCGTTGTGTCACGCTAATAGCTATCTTTTAAAAATCTAAGGCTTAAAAATCGTGTTCATGTCAATTGAATTACAAAAATAATGGCCGAGACATCAATAGCCTGAGAACATGCCCTCCCTACACCTGATCGCTGTTAAAGAAAAGTTGATTACATGTTAGGGAAAGAAAGATAGCGCGAGCAGGATTCCTCATCTCGTCTCTTGTCCGTTTACAACGGGACAGTATGCTAACAAAGTCGCACTCGGCGCCAGACTGGTCAGAAACCCTACGTAATGGAGTTCATCGCGCAGAATGCAGGGACATCATTACTTTATTCATAATCAGCAAAGCGGCAAATTTGAATGCTGGCTGGCTAAGAAGAGTTCACAATAAGAGAAGAAAGGGCTCAAATTGGTCAGGTTGCGCTGATAAAACTTGCTTTCCCGCTTTCCAAAAGCCAAATCCTAAAAACCTACGCGCGGCTTTTTGAAGATGAATGATGTACCTGCAAATTGAGCCTAAAATGAAGAAGATTGAATAAGAGTAAGCATTATCCCTTTGAACTTGAAAATACAGTAAAAACGGGCTTTTTCAGCATGGAGTCCATTTTCGAAAGAAAATTTCTGAAAATTTACACTGCGTTTTAAAACCCTACGTGCGGAAAATGAAAGATGGACCTTTTCTCCAACGGAATCCGGTTTAACTTTGAAAATCGTTTGAGCAGAACCACTATCCCTTTCACGTTGAAAACGTCTGGTAGGAGTTGTGTTCGAAAATGGCGTGTCTCGAGCACGCGAGCTATTGTCTCAAGCCCAAGAGTGAATGACAATGGTTGTCAAGAGTAATAAAATGCCCATTCAAGAAAACCACTCAGTTCTAAAACAGTTCACAATTGCCGCGAAGTTTAAAGCCAAGACAGTGCAACATCTGACTCATGCGAACGGCCAGCCAGATCGCGTAATGAGCAACGCTAAAATCGCCGAGAACGTCAATGATCGGGAGCTCTTTTCAGAGCTCATAGACAACCCGATCAATCCCCTGCTAATCCACATGGTTCCTCCTTTTATGGATGAAAAAGATCCAATGTTCTCTCTACAAATTAACGGAGAAGCAGTCTGGGAATCGCGTCAAGTTTATGGTCAGCCGATGAGCGCATTTGATTTGATCCAACGAAGCATTCTACCGTTACGATACCAGCTTTTTTATTCATCCCGGGACCGCATTGGAAATGCAGTAGCCGCAAGCATCAGACGCTTCTGCCAAAAAATAAAAGCCACCACAAACGGTAAAAAACGAAAACGATTGAAAGCAGAGACTTGGCTAAAACTAGCTATAAACCCAAACGAAATCCAGCGCACACCTAATGACGTTATGGCGCAACTTATTCAACAAAACAGCAACCTAAGCACGACGGTAGAAGATAGGGCTGCCGACTTATATGATCAGATGCAAAGGAAACTTGCTCACAGTGTAAATCGCCTATGGATATCGCCTATTAGACAAAGAAAGGTTTCTGTCTATCGCTGCACGAACAGTGACTGTAACCAACCACTCTACAAACTAAAATTCGCCATGCGAACACTGAATCGCCCGTGTCGAATTTTCTTATGATTGCTACTCGCATCGCTAATCTTTGTTTTTCAGGGCTTTAGTCAGTTTGAGCTCTGTTAAGGAATGTAAACTTATTTACCCGCCGTTTTGGTTTGTATAAGAGCTAAAAACCTTTTAAATACAGAAGCAAAACATTACAGACCATTACACTGAGCGTCGGCTTCTGTGCGCTAAACACTCAATGCCAGTGTGTTTAATTACGACACAATCAAGATCTCGCTCGCGCAACGATAAATCGACATTTCATCATTCGTTCTGTTGGTTAACTTTTTTTACCAAATGAACTGCCAATACAATAAAGCAAAGCGAGTTTTTAAAATGTCGCTGCGAAATATGGGCATATTTGAGATTTGCGAATAGCGCATTATTGGGTCAAAATTAATAATGCAAACTTTTCTTTACCATTACTTTCGAATTGCAACTCTTGTGGCATGATTAATTGCTAATGTAGTTTTTTTGACATTTTTTGCGAAAACTTGCTTCTTTCTGCACGTTCCATGGCGTACATGTGTTTTTCTTTACCATTACTTTCCAATTGCAACTCTTGTTACATGGTTAATGCCAATTAAGTTTTTCTTCACATTTTCTGCGCAAACTTACTTCTTTCTGTACGGTTCTTGGCTTGAGACATAAACATACGAAGGCTATTTTCCGAACACAAGAATGAGGGTCTCAATGGGGTTAACCGATAGGCGTACACAGCCGCGGCCAAAAATTTAGTCGATAGCCGTAAAAATTGAAAAATTTTAACCGTTAGCCGTAAATAGGGTAAAAAAGAGTTAACCGTAAAAGAAATTGTTCCCTAGATTTGCTACTTTTAAGGACGCGAAGGTACTAAACTCACTTATGGTTGCGTTTTTTATTTCCCGGCTAGTGTGACTCCGTACGCACGTTAGGTAAAGCGCCTTTTAGGTGAAGACCAAGACCCATTTCCATTTCCGCCGCTCTCTCGGGGAACTAATTTTTTTTCTATAGCGAAAGTGTGGCTTCTTGCTGGGGATTAATGTTTGCGATTTTTAGGAGGTCTTGCCCTCGAAACACTAGTGAAACAACACGAAGAGATCTCACTGTTTGTAAAACAAGTTGCCGATAAACAACATTTCCCTTTTTTCTCCGACGCTACGGTAGACATTGCCATGCCTAGTTCCTGTACGGCGTCTTCCCACGCAATTTCGATCAAGGCATTTCGGTGGCGAACTCGCTCGGACCACGTGACCCGAAACGCATTAGCCGCGCGAAATAATGAGGTCTACGGACAAGGCAAAACGGCTAACAGTGGTTCCGTACAGTCCTTCGCTACCATTAAAAACACTGGACACGTTAATTTTGTTATTGGTCGTTTTCACACTAGAGCTAGAAACGGATTATCCGTCTGAGACTAGCCTGTGTACAGTCGCCCGCCTTCCCGAAAGACACCCCCTCTCTGATTTTTTTTCTGAGGGGAAGGGGCGGCTGCACACAGGCTATCTGAAACGGATAATCCCGTCTTCAAACTGTCCGTCGAAGTTGAAGGATAAAGTCAGGCGGATTGTTCATGCAAAATTAAAACTATTCCATTTTCAAATTAAGACGTATTACCTATCTGACGCGAATCATCAAACGGATAACCCGTCTCACACGAATAATCCGTCTCTAGTGTGAAAACGGCCATTTCTGTTGTAACAAATGTCGCGCCCCGGCCTTGAGTTAGGCGTTCGCGTGTGTGCTTTGCTTTTTCACAAAGATTATTTTTAAATTGACTACTGACATTTTTATGTGTAAAATAATATTAGAAGTGGACATGGGCTCCTGAAGTGGAATACTTTATAAAAAGTATGATCTATCAAATGTTAAAATTTTTCAAAAGAATAGCTTATTTCATATCACGAGATGATCTTAAGACCTTTACTTGCTTTAAAGATACAAAAAATACAGGTTAATTAATATTTAGTTGCTGCTAGTTGTAAACGTTGGATCTCTAGAAAAGAGATCAAATCAGCCAAAATATAAAGAACCAAGAACGAGAAGTCCAAAGATTACTGCAAAGCTGATTTAAAACAACGTGTATTGTATTTTATAACAATATTTCGGCTGGCCATATAGGTTAGTTTCATCTAACAGCCACCCTACTGAACGCATCTCACAATTTGTTGACTACTACATTAACCCTCTCGTCTCTACCTTGGATTCACACATTAAAGACACTACTGACTTCCTTAATAAACTTTCTAACCTCGGCGACCTACCTAACAACGCTATTCTTGTAATTCTTGATGTGTCATCGCTCTACACCAACATTTCACACAATCAAGGAATTGATGCATGCCGTCATTTTCTTGATAGCCGCCCTAACAAACACATCCCCACAGAGACACTATGTGGCTTACGCATGATTCTCACCATGAATAATTTCACATTTAACCAACAGCATTATCTTCAAATCCATGGTACTGCTATGGGTACTAAAATGGCTCCTTCTTTTGCTAACCTTTTTCTTGGTATGTTCGAAACCAACGCTCTCACTAACGCCCCTTGGCAGCCTCACACATGGTGGAGCTATATCGATGATATTTTCATGATCTGGACAGAAGGTTCGGATCGTTTGAAAATATTCGTCGATTATCTCAATAACATTCATCCCACTATTAAGTACACTAGCTCTCACTCACTTACTAACGTTCCTTTTCTCGACGTCATGGCGTCTCTACATAACGGTACAATTGAAACTGATCTATTTACTAAACTCACAGATAAACATCAGCACCCGGGGGAGGGTCTCAATGGGGTGGTGGCTTTTACGGTTATCGGCTAAAATTTTGGATCTTTTACGGCTATCGGTTAATTTTTTTCAGTTACGGTTGACGAAAAAGTTAGAAATTAACTTCTTTTGTTTCAAAAAGTTAAATATTAATTAACCTGTATTTTTTTTTGATAAAGGTCTTCAGATCATCTCGGGATGAAATAAGCTATTCTTTTGAAAAATTTTAACATTTGATAGATTATACTTTTTATAAAGTATTCCACTGGTACTATTATTTTACGCTTAGAAATGTCAATAGTCAGTTTAAAAATAATCTTTGTGAAAAAGCAAAAGCAGACACGCGAACGCCCAACTGAAGGCCGGGGCGCGACATTCATTATAACAGAAGTGGCCGTTTTCACACTAGAGAAGGATTATTCGTGTGAGACGGGTTATCCGTTTGATGATTCGCGTCAGATAGGTAATACGTCTTAATTTCAAAATGGAATAGTTTTAAGTTGAATGAACAATCCGCCTGACTTTTGAAGACGGGAATATCCGTTCCAGATAGCCTGTGTATAGCCGCCCCCTCCCCTCAGAAAAAATCGGAGAAAGGGTGTCTGTGGGGAGGACGCGACTGTACACGGGCTAGTCTCAGACGGATGATCCATTTCTAGCTCTAGTGTGAAAACGGCCAATAACATGATTCCCGTGTCCAGTGTTTTTAATGATAGCGAAGGACTGTACGGAACGACTGCCTGCCGTTGCCTTGTCCGTAGGCCGCATTATTCTGCGCGGCTAATGAGTTTCGGGTCACGTGGTCCGAGCGAGTTCGCCACCGAAATGCCTTGACCGAGATTGCGTGGGCAGCGTGTTTTACAAACAGTGACATCTCTGCGTGTTGTTTCACTAGTGTTTCGAGGGCACGACCTCCGGAAAGAAGCCACACTTTCGCTATGGAAAAAATTAGTTCCCCGAGAGAGCGCCGGGTGGAGCCTAGGTCTTGGTTAAGGCGCTTCGCCTAACGTGCGTACGGAGTCACACTAGCCGGGAAATAAAAAACGCAACCATAAGTGAGTTTAGTACCTTCCTTAAAAGTATGTAGCAGATCTGGGGAACACTTTCTTTTACGGTTAACTCTTTTTTACCCTATTTACGGCTAACGGTTAAAATTTTTCAATTTTCACGGCTAACGGCTAAATTGTTGGCCGTTTTACGCCTATCGGTTAACCCCATTGAGACCCTCCCGGGGGGCGGGGGGCACTCGGGTATTTTTTGGGTGGGTATGTGCCGCCCGGAACTCCAAATTGGCACTCCGTTCTGAAAAAAAATTCCCCTAAAATTGATACCCCGTTCTAGAAATGGGCCAATTTTTTATACCCCGTTCTAGAATTCGCTCTAAAACTGATACCCCGTTCTAGAAATGGGCCAATTTCTTATACTCCGTTCTAGGGTGCAACAAGAGTACAACAGTTTGCTTGTTAACGCATTGAACCGTATTTTTAAAAACAATCTGTCCTTGAATAATTTCAAATGGCTGCTTACAAAACTGGAGCTTTCGTGCGTTCGAAATATTATACCCCGTTCTAGAAAACGCCTCTGAAATGGATACCCCGTTCTAAATCAGGAGCTTCAAAATCGCGACCCCGTTGGGCGGCACATACCCATATAGGTAATGTATGGGAGTTCCCCCCCCCGGGCATCAGCACCTTCTCAGCTGATCATGCCATCCTCACCACACTAAGAAATCCATTCCGTTCAGCTTAGCCCTGCGCCTCCGCCGTATCTGCTCTACAGACGCTAAGTTTAAACATCGCATTAATGAACTTAAAACATATCTCCTTGCTCGTGGTTATAACAATAATATCATAGGTGACGAATTACTCCTTAATTTTGGCGCGAAACCCAAAGCGTCCAACGATGTTGTACCATTTGTTGTCACATATAACCCAGCACTTCCACGCATTTCTAATATCCTACGCAAACACTTTAACATCTTACACTCCTCTAACCGCTGCAAAGACGTCTTTAAGCAACCGCCTTTTGTTGTTTACAGACGTAGCTCTAATCTTCGTGACCTTTTAGTTAAAGCACAACTGCCCGTTATCTCCACCAATCATTTTCCGCTAGGCTCCTTCCGTTGTGGACAGAATTGTGCCACTTGTCCATTTCTAACGGCCTCACAAGTTATACCTTTTACGCTACAGGTGAAACACGCTCCATCACTTCACACATTACTCGTAACACTAAAAATGTGATCTACATGGTTCAATGTAACCGTTGTAATTTACAATATAAAATATATAGGTGAAACTAAGCGACGTCTCAAGGACAGATTTAACGAACACAGACGTGCAGTCGACAAAACTAACATTAAATCTAAACCCACTACTGTTTCTGAACACTTTCTCTCTCACTCTAACCTTTCTCATACTGACATGCAGTTAATCCCACTAGAGAAAATTCATTCTTCAGGTGACTCAGTTCGTAAGGCCAGGGAGTCGCATTTGATATAGATAAGGCCATGACTCTTGAATCTCATGGCCTAAACCGCCGTGACGAATTATTGTAATCATGCATATCCTTAGCATTTTTCCTTTCCAGTTTTTATGTTGTACGTCATTTCCGCCTCTCCCTTTTATTGCGACATTCTCCATTATATAATATTGTGATTGCTACATAAGTTCAGTAACATCTATAAACCTGAAGAAGGATGGTATGGCCAGCCGAAATATTGTTATAAAAAACAATACACGTTGTTTTAAATCAGCTTTGCAGTAGTCTTTGGACTTCTCGTTCTTAATTAATATTTAACTTTTTGAAACAAAAGAAGTTAATTTTTAACTTTTTTGTTAACCGTAACTGAAAAAAATTAGCCGATAGCCGTAAAGGAGCCAAAATTTTAGCCGACAACCGTAAATGCCACCACCCCATTGAGACCCTCCAGAATGACTTTACATGCAAGATTATTTCCGAAATATCAAAACTCTTACCATAAACATTCTTTATAAAGCTCTTTCTAATACATCAACTTAAGACAGCCGCAAGTGATCAAAAATACCAGCATCGAATTACTATTGAAATACATGTCTTAGCGCAAATTTTCTGCGAATAAACTTACCACGCAAATTTTCTGCAAAGAATCAACCAGGCGTTCCAGTCTTGAAAAGTCACGTGATATCAACTTTCCCATGATGCCCTGAGGCCCACATGTCACACAATTTGTCACATCTCTGGAAACTTCGTTGGTTTTTTTCTTTATCGATCGTTTCTGTCTTTCCGTCGTTCTTTCTCAGCTACAATGGATTCAAATTTGCTACGCGAGTGCGCGCAGCGCTTGTTAGAGACAGCGGACTTTATCCGTAACTTGACCGCTGCTGTAACGTCCACAACGCAGACAACCACAACAACAACCTCGAGCTCGACAACCGCACAACCTCAACCAAACAGCGCAACAAACCGTGACACCGTTAGGAGTGAGCACAACCGACTGTTTGGTACCGGCCGCCAGCTCCGTCGCGAGCTCCTCGAAATCCTCATAGCAATAAAAGGGGGTGGTAGGCCTACACGACTTTTACCTTATGCCAAAATGCTGTTTATTCCAAGAAAGTTTTTTTTCCTCTGCTGGGTAGATTATGCTCTGGAAGGCTCTACGTTTTCACTGAGCAAATGTGATTTTAGCCGCATGTTTCACACTGAGAGGTCATGACACACATATCGATTTACTGTAGCTATTGTTTCTGGTCGGCAGGATTTGCCCTCTGATACAAGCGCATTTTCTTTGACTTTTTTTGAAGCGTAAAGCTTTTTTATTACGGCTGAATAAGGGTTCCAATTTTCTCCAAAGTGCCTTCTGGATCTGAATAACTAAGCGATTTTCTTTAGTCCGTGAGTGTAATGTTTTTCTGCAATGCTGTATCACGCTGGGCCCAGCTCGTTAGTTTTCTTTGCAGAATGTTATATTATCACGGATAGAGATTTACAGATCCAAAAATCCTCCTCGTCACAAAGACGACATGACTAAAAAATGGCTTTGTCAAACACCAAATCCGCATCGAATTCCAGAAATACACAAGCCGTCCCCGGTCGGCAGACCGATAGTATCAGGGTGTGATGTCCCAACGGAGAAATTATCATCATTTGTCGACAAACTCCTTCAGCCGATAGCACAACAACAAAAGTCGTATCTTAAAGATACTACCGACTTCGTCAATTTCATAGAAAATACGAAAGTCCCAGCGGATGTCATACTTGTTTCAATGGACGTTACGAGTTGTATACAAATATACCGCAAGAGGAGGGAATAACGGTATGCAGAGCATACGAAATATTCTATAGAAACGAACCTCCTATCCTTACACAACTACTAAAACAAGCGCTTAGGCTAATTCTCCAAGAAAATTCTTTCCAGTATAATGGAAAAAACTACCTTCAAACACGTGGTACGGCCATGGGCACGAAAATGGCAGTCGCCTTTTCTAATATATTCATGAACAAGGTAGAGACGGAAATCCTTAGCCAAAGCCTTTTTTAAACCGCTCGTTTGGAAACGTTACATAGACGACATCTTCTCGCTCTGGACTACAAACAGAGACAGAATAGAGCATTTCATTGAACAAACAAACAATCATCACCCTACGATCAAGTTTACGGCTGAAATTTCCGATAAGGAAACAACATTCCTGGACACCTACATCTACAAAGGCGAAAGATTCGAAAGAGACGCAATCCTTCCCTGCTAGCAGAGGTCTCTCACGACGAGGCAATCGTCGTGAGAGACCTCTGCTAGCAGGGAAACGCAATCCTTGATGTGCGTACTCATTTTAAACCAACTGAGACATTTCAGTATACCCATTTTAGTTCCTGTCACCCGTAAGGAGTTAAAAAAGGCTTCATTAAAGGGAAAGCCCTCCGACTTCTCAGAACAAACTCTTCCAAAATAATATTCGAAGAGAAAATTACAGATTTCATAGGGGCACCCAACGAGAATATAGTTCAAAACCACTTAAACATAGCATTGTTAAATGTATTTTAGTATTTAAACGGTAGATATAGGCATATTTTCCCCAAAAAATTTTTCATCTGTTCGGATTTCCTAGCTGAAAGTCTAGTGATCCGAAAATTATAGGGATTAAAACTTACCTTTTCGAAAATTTCAGCCAGAAAAAAGGCTCCCGAAAATTCTAGGTGACCTTTTTAGGGTAAAAAGCCGTTAAAAATAGGCAATTATGCCATTTTTTAGATGTTCGAAAATCCTAGGAGAGGCAGGCAAGCAAGAAATTTTACAACAAATGTTTCGAAAATTCTAGATCACAAATCGTGTTCCGAACAGATGTTCTTCCGAAAATTGTCTTTGGGTGCCCCTGATTTCAAAGCGCATCTGCTACAGAGGGGTTACCCAGAGGATCTCATTAACACAACCCTCCCAGAGGTGAATTTCAAAGACAGGAAACTAGCTCTTCAACAGAAACCAAAGACAAACCTACGAATCTTGCCTTTTGTCACACAATACCAACCATCAGTGCCTAACGTAAAGCAAATTCTCATGAAAAACTGGCATTTCATAGAACAACAACCATTACTGAGCGAAATCTACAAAAAACCGCCCCTCGTATCCAACAAAAGAGGGCGGTCGCTCAAAGACATACTCGTGAGAGCCAGACTATAAAAAGGCTATTTTAAACACGCGCTGGGGAGTCGTGTAGGCCTGTCAACCCCATTTTACACTGTTTGGGACGCCTGGTTGATTTTTTGCAGAAAATTTGCGTGGTAAGTTTATTCGCAGAAAATTTGCGCTAAGACATGTATTTCAATAGTAATTCGATGTTGGTATTTTTGATCGCTTGCGGCTGTCTTACGCTGATGTACTAGAAACAGAGCTTTATAAAGAATGTTTATGGTAAGAGTTTTGATATTTCGGTAATAATCTTGCGTGTAAAGTCATTCTTGTGTTCGGAAAATAGCCTTCGTATGTTTATGTCTCAAGCCAAGAACCGTACAGAAAGAAGTAAGTTTTCGCAGAAAATGTGAAGAAAAACTTAATTGGCATTAACCATGTAACAAGAGTTGCAATTGGAAAGTAATGGTAAAGAAAAACACATGTACGCCATGGAACGTGCAGAAAAAAGCAAGTTTTCGCAAAAAAAGGTCAAAAGAAACTACATTAGCAATTAATCATGCCACAAGAGTTGCAATTCGAAAGTAATGGTAAAGAAAAGTTTGCATTATTAATTTTGACCCTAATAACGCGCCATATAAAAGGAGAAACAACAGCGAACTGTCCCCTTTGTTTAGTTTGCCACCTACATCATATTAATGAGCATCCGAGTGCGTACAAGGCAACCAATCGTTGAGGCGCTTTCATAGCGTCCACGCATGATATGACAGATCTACAAACTTTGTTGAACTGGAAGTAAATGTCCCGAGAACAATAGGCATTCTGCGCGATGTTCTGATAATTATTAAATTGGCAACTCACATGTTGTGACCAGTCCTGAGAAGACCCAGCACTGTCCGTACTTCACGTGATTCTTGGTCTTCCAGAATTCTTCCAGTATGTTAACGCTTCCAGTCCAGCCGGTAGGTTTGGTGCCATCTTTGTAGGGCTCACTCCATCGACCCAACAGAAGACCTCCATTATTGTCAAAATTGACCTGTAAGATAATCATTGTACTTGGTCTTAGTTTGAAGGTAAGCGGTTCAAGAAAACTGTCTATTAAAGCCTGGGATTAGCTAAGTTAGCAAAAATCCGTCAACACGGCTAAATAAACGCCTTAAAATTTTTAAGATGCCTAGTTTAACGGGATTTGTTGAACTAAGGAAGACTTGTTATAGCTGCTCAAACTGAGTCACCGAATTTTACAGACGTTTTGATGGTGAGCAAGGGGCGGGGGTTGTTTTTGGCAAATTCGTGCCCCCTTTTCTCCCCATCCCCGCGTGCGTACACTTACAAAATCTCAAGCTACGCCCCCGCTGAAAGAGCCTCTTTCTAGTGCTTTCCTTAGCGACGCATTGACGGAAAATTTCGGTCCGTCCAAAGACGGAAAATGGTGAAAATAGTAAACTGAACAACCTATAAGATAATAAAAAAAATTGATAAAAAAAGACTTTCTATTTTAGATCTTTCTAACGCTATACGTTCACGAATTTTCGACTAGTTGAACATTCGTTCGTTAGGAGTTCCATTTACAAGAAACCACCTTAACAGCACGAAACTTTAGACGCTTAGTTCTAAAAGAGCGAAAATATTGAACTGGTCCCTGGTGAGCCAAGTGTCCAGTCAATCTTCTTTTTGGCTGGTCGAGATTTCGTCCGCTGTTGTATGGACGTAGCCTAAAGTAAATTAATAAATATCTACGTTACTTACCTTGGCTGAAAGAGTTCTTACTATAGGAATTGGACTGGACTTGGCCTCTTGATACTCTGCTAAACCGGAGTGGTCGAGCAGCCACAGTGAACAGTTCAGAGAGACATCTTCAAACTAAGAGAAAGATAAAATTAAATATCATTATTAAAGATACTTCACCCTTTGTAAATAGCTTTAAAACCCAGTCCAATTCTCCATAATTTGGTGGCGATACCCAATGTAAGATGCGGGCAATAGGCAATGGACACGATTGACCGCATAACCCTCTCCTCGACCTGCAAAATCCCTCGTATCATTCTCAGGCCCCGTTTGCAATAAAGAAAAGTGGGGGGACCGGGGGCGGGTAGAAGCGCGACCGCCTTACCAAGTTACCCTGGGCGAGTCAACTCTTCATAACGTAACGAACCGTTTACTTGAGAAACAAAAACTTGGCTGTTGATTGGCTGGATAAGAAGGGTGACCTGCCTAGGCGGTCACCCCTTTGTTATGGTGGGACTACCCTCCTAATCGAGCCATCTTTTCTCCATATAAACACTTCGGCACACCCAGCGGGGTCAACTCGGACAAAGCGAGACAGTTAGAGCATGTGTGAGCTTTGTTTTAGACAATTACAGCATGCGCTAGCGCTGTTGGCCAGAGTGGTTTCTTTGCTTTTTGCAAGTACCTGTCCGAACATCCAAGGAATTCCCCAATTGTTCCATTGACTGCCCACCCAAATGTGACCATGGTCAGCTAACACGTACTCCAGACGTTCCTCCTCATTGTCCATATACGCCACATCATCTAACATGCACATCATAAAACAAAAAGCACTTTAAATCAGATTTTTAAACAGAAGCGCTATAAGTAGAGGTTTGCTAGTTTTACAGATAGTGACAAAAACTGGTGGATTTTATAAATAGAGAAACCTATTTACCGGCTTGCCAGTCTTGGCTCTTTTAGTATATCTTTTAGTGCATTACTTATGAAGACCGTAGACAAACGATGACGAATTTCTCTCGCTCTTTTTGAACTTGAATATTTTTTAAGGAATTCAATTCTAGTAGAGTTCGTCCATCGTTTGACAGTAGGAGGGAGTTGAGACCATCGCGCTGAATTTTCAAAGACGTTTAACACGAAATCAATTTTCAAGTTAGGTTTTTGCCGCTTTTGCCGTCTTGGTATCTTAAACTTTCTAATAGCCAAAATAAGTCAAACAGAACTCCTTCAATTTCGGGATTCCAGCCCAAACACATCTGATATAATTTAGCGGCTCTCCTCGCCATACTAAAGCAGGATCACTATACCTTGGCACCAAGCGTTAAACAAAATGCACACAGTTTCGTCCTCCTTGCGTCTAAACACTGAAAGCTTTCCCTCGGAGTCTGCCGTTTTGGTCTCCAAGAACACTTCATAACGTCCAATAATAGCATTGGCTGAGGGCATGACTGTTAGGTGCATGGTTTTGTCGCTGACCTTCTTGATTTTCATTCCCCATTGGTTGGGCGTGAGGACATCACGAAGTGTGACTCGGACAAGGGAGCCTTTGCTCTCCCGAGGTTTTTTCCCTGCGATTTTGAAACACAGTGTTTTGTTCGTTGTTGTTCAGATCAAATAATGACAAAAGGCTGCCTGTATTATTGAGCTATTTCAGCCTAAGCCAGCAAAAAAGACAATCAGCAATGTAAGTCCCAGGGCAGTAGGCGTTCACTTCTCATTCGGCTTTCGCACGTGATCCCTCCGCCTTGACTTACATAGGGTTGGAGATGGGGGGAAGGGCAGGTCGACCAATTTAACGGACAGTTTAATTCATTGTCGCGAAGGTTCTCAAACCCTGATCCTGAGTGGCGGATCCAGGGGAAGGGCCCGGGGGGTCCGCCCACCTTATTATCAGACCAAACTGGAGCCCGAAGGGCCGAAAAAAGTGTTTTTTGAGACCGCCCCCTTATCTGAAGGTCTGGATCCGCCACCGCTGACTAGAAATAAAATTGAAAATGGACTCCCTTTTTTAATGATAAAAAAATTAACTACAAAAACCGTGGACGAAGATCCTGCTGGTTGCATTTGTCAACTTTGAATCTCCAGAAAAGAGATCTAATCAGCTAAAAGTAACATTTGTAAACCTGAAGAAGGCTGGTTCGACCAGCCGAAATATTGTTATGAAAAAGCAATACACGTTATTATGATCAGCTTTGCAGTAGTCTTTGGACTTACACCCTAGCTTTTTGTGTTTTTCATCACATGGACATTCATAAAGCACAGGATTGTAGAGTACACGTTGATAAATCGTTTTGTTAGTACGCTGACAAGGTTGTGAAAGTTAAGACCTAGGACTCAGCACTACTACCATAACCCAACCGCGGCACATACCTATAATATGGGTCGAACAGCGTGCAGGACGATAATTAGCTACAAGACAGTTAATAAATGACCTAACAAACCTGTAGCAAATTGCAGTATTATCTGGTCAGATTCCGGCCCGTACACTCTGTCGAACGTCACCGTGACTTGAAATTCCTGACCTCTCCTAATGATCAGCTCTTCAGATTCGTAATCGTCAGTTCTATGAGCCATGCGATTCTCATGTTTGTGGAAATCCACGTTTAGTGGCCTCAGTTGTGTCGCTTCAATAGAATAAAACAGTTTAGGTTAGAACATTTAATTATCACCTCACACGATCATGCTTTTCTATAGTACTTTTGTTTTAATTCTTTTTTTCCTTGCACATTTGCAAGCGCAAAGAAACTGCTGCTATATTCAATAAAATCAAGACTCCTTTAAACCAGGCAGATGGCCCAAGAATTGGCCACCCTTCGCCTTGGTTAGATACCAGAATTTTAAAATCTATTTTCAATTTTTGAAAAGTTTGACAAGCTTTATAGGTGCAAGTTCATTTTCAGTTCTCAAATAGTACAAATATATATTGCGTGAGACTAATACTCTTTATTTTAGTTTTCATAAATAATGTAAAAGGCAAGGCAAATTCAATTTTTTTAGGGTTCCATTGGTGTGGCCGTCGTTATTGTGAACTGTGTCTGATAAATCGTCAGAGTAAGGTGTAGACCGTTAGCAATGCAAAAAAAGCGAGAAACGAGAAACTGGTGAAGAGGCTTTACACTGACCCAGCCTCCATTGGTGATCATCTCCGTTTAGCCGGAACTTGTCGTCTAGCGTTGACTGCGATCAGCCTAGTCCCTAGGCGTTCTCTCTTGCCCCATTGTCCGCGCGAAGTCTCACTGGGAAAAGGCGATCGAGTCTCCGTTGGTGATGTCACAGCTCATGATAGAGTCTAGGATTGACCGAGCCGAGAACGTCTTGGGACAAGGCTGGACTGCGATGATTTTAGGAGAGTGGTGGTTGATTATAATATTGTTGTTATTTTACCTTCCTGTTACCCTTACAGTTACCTTTATAAGACAAAAAGACCGTCAAAGCTCTGTTCAAAGATCTGAATCTTTTGTCAGAAGTAGCATTCCTCCTTCCTTCCAAACCCTCACCCAATCCAGATATGTCACGGTTTGTTGCTGAATCATCACTAAGAAAAAACGTTAAAGAGTTTTAACGGTAAGTGAAGCCTAGTATTTAGATGTCCTTTCTTTTTTCCCAAACAAATGAAAACAGTAACTGTCTAATTTTTTAACACTGAACAATCCAATCTCACGGAAACTTCCAATCAACCTTTCTTGTTCCAATTGCTTGACTGGCTTCCTCCCTATCCTTCATCTCCTCATCTGTTTTCACGGACCCAAAAGGTCGTCAAGTTAAACATTACTACCCAATTAAAAAGCAGTGACTCTTAGCATTGGATCTGGCCAAAAAGAAACTCTGATGGCTTAAAGAAATCAGCATCTTTCTTTTAAGGTCTATAAGTGCATGGAATTTGTACTGGAAATCATTTTTGTAACTTGCAGTTCTAACTATTGAGACTATTAAGCTAGTATTAAAACCGTCCGTTTCTGAAACAGTTTCATTTCTTCCTTAAAACCCTTGGATGTCTTTATAACGCTTTTGAAATACGCCAAAAGGTATGTCTGCGAAAAAGGTAACATTGAGGGACGCGAAAGAGGATTTCGAAAAAGTCTATATCGAGCTACAAAAACAGTCCTGACAACGCAGGTGGAAAACCAACACGTGGTTTTTTAATTCAACAAGAAAACATTTAGTGCTTTGAACTACGCCCAAGACTTTGGAACCACAGTGAAGGAATCGCTTAAAAGAACTAGGAAATCGAAGTGGGCTACTCTCACGAAAAGTCGAATTGTTCCGCGTCAAATACTGGATATAGGAAGCGTTTATAGGAATATATTATCGAGTGTTTGTAGATTTAGTTGTCACAATTAGTATTTGATAATTACTTGTTAGTTTAATTAATAATCAAGCTTAAACTTAGTTAAACTTAGCTTAATCAAGTCTTTCAAATTTTGTATGCCTTGTGGGACTATACTAGGTGTATTTGTTTGTATGGTTTATAGGAACAATTAGTTGTTTAAGTATTTGAAATTAGTTGTCAAGTCTTGTATTTCAGTTGTAATAATATACGCGAAAAAATTACTAAATTCTGACTGGCTGAGAAAGGAGTGCATTTCCTCTTCAACACGACTGCAAACTTGTAACCCGAGTGCAAAACTTGCAACAAGAGTGCAAATTACAAATGCTTTCTGATTGGCTGAAAACACAAAAGAAACCACCAAGAACGAATCAGATTAGAGCTGTTTTAACAACAAAATTTATAAAAATAGCCATGGTTTTCAGCAAACGACGATTTGATTTTGTACGCAAAACAACAATAGAAAGGTTAAAAAAATATTCCAAAAACCCGAACACAGTAAAAAGTATGTCTTTGTGGCTAAATGTATTGAAAATGCGGTGCTAAGAGAAAAGTACTGTCAACAAAATCGAGGAAAATGAGCCAGAGAAACTAAAAAACAAGCTACTTTATAACAGACTACGCTAAAGTAAAAAAATAAAGAACAAAAACGGTGGCAACCACACGCAAACAATGACAGCTACACTTTTCAGGTATTTAAATGAACAAGGATACAAGTTTTCCATGATAACAACAGAGATTTCAAGTCACGTACGTTATTTGTAGGAGGAAGGTGTCCGGTTGCTCTCTTCGAGTCTTTTGGAGAACGAAAAACATCCATGCAATGGTCTGTTTTTTTCTACCTCAGTAGCAAACAAAACCGTAAACCAATGGGCGAAAATACCATAACTAACATAATGAAAGTATCCGTAGCTGGTACTAGCCTTAAAGAAAGTGAGAGAAAAAGTTTACGAATCATAGTGCAAGAAAAACAACGGTCAGCAAGCTGAAGAAAGCAAAGATTGTAAGTTCAGAACATATCGCCAATGTCACAGGCCGCAGAGGTATAAATTTCCTTAACAACTACGATGAAGCCGACGAAGAAAAGTGACGATGACTCGATCTTGCAGTAGGCCAAATGAAATAATGAAAACCCCAGCGCTGAGAAAAAGCAAATAAACAACTGAGGTTCCACTCACCCATCGACGGCAGCGTCTGAAGAAATAGAGAATATTACACGGCGGCGAGAAGATATGAATTTTATGTTCGAGTGGCAAGAACAATATCTCACGAGTGAGCGCAGCGAACGAGTGAGATATTGCTCTTGCCACGAGAACATAAAATTCATATCTTCGAGCTAACGTGTAATATTCTTTTTATTATATAAACATACTGATGACGGCGTTTTTGATGATTTTCCGAAGATTTCCGACCACCTTCCGAAGATTTCCGAAGATTTTTCAAATTGTCCCGAAGACCAGACGAACGTTCCCGAACATTTTCCGAGAATTTCCGAAAATTTCCGAAGATGTCCGAAGATTTCCGAAGATTGCCGAGCACTTTCGAGGAAGACCCGAAGATGTTTCGATGATACACCAACGAATTTAAGTACAATTTAAGAGACAAACCTGATGTCAGTGAAATTATCGATATCTTCACATGTAAAAATATCGTATTTTTACGTGTGTTCAGATACCACATTTCTCGGTGGTAGAAATCCTTGTAAAACACTGCAGTTTATATAATAAAACAAATTCCCCGCTTCATTTTTGGGTTTTAAATCTCAAAAATTTCTCCATGAATCCAGCTATGATGGGGTCTCAGGAACAGACAATGATGAACAGTACTAGTTGTTAAACAACTCATTCATCTTAGGCTACTTGAAGCGTTCTCCTGATTTCAAAACGGCAGTATACATCATGTAAACGCCGAGCTCTCATAATCGAAGATGAATTTAAAAACACTTACTTTTGCTGATTATTGTAAACCGAGTTATCTTTAACAGGCTGGTGACCATATAAATCAATCAGTGCACATTTCCAAGTTCTTAGCTGAATAATTTTGAAAGCGTTGGTCTTGAAAAAGTTTGAATTTGACAAAGGTAGTAGTCTGTTTCAGCCAATCAGTTGAATGAACTAAAAACGCGCGCGCTATCAAAATTTGTTGCCGTAGTTATGTTTTTCGTGTATACTATTAATAAGTAATCACATGATTTTTTCGTGCAATTTGGAATGAGTAAGCACTTGTAAAAGACCACAAAGTGCATTCGCCCTACGGGCTCGTGCACTTTTGTTGGTCTTTGAAAAATTTACTCGTGCTTATTAATTATTAATTATTAATTGCACTCGAAATCA